GCGGACTCACAAGGGTATTTAAGGCTTGGTGTCCTTTAAGAAGTTCCTTGCAGTGAACTTAAAGTTCCACGTTTCTCCTCTGTTTCTGCAGAGGGTCCTGGCACAGGATTGCCCCTCTGCTCTCTGACTTGGAGTAAATGCAGCAGAGGAGTGTGGCTCTGGGAGGAGGGGAGTGGGTTTTAAAAGTTTGGGGGTTTTTTGGTTGTTTGGGGGGGGTTGTGTGGGGTTTTTTGTATTGACAAAAAAATAATCTCTTTGCTCTCACTTTACTTTTTGTTCTCCTTCTCCTGTGTGAGCTGGGATCACTCAGGTATGGGATCTAAGGTGGATTTACCCCTGAGGCTGTAAACTTTGTGGGTGCTAGTGGGAGAGCAGGACTGACATCTTTCTGTATGCAAGTGAAAATTGGACAGGCAGATACTTGGTAGTGAGGCTGTCCATGTAGTAACCTTCACAGCAGGCAAAAGACATGCTTTAAGGACTCAGTCAAGGTTTCTTTTTTTTTTTTTTTTTTTTTTTTTTTTTCTTTTTAAACCAGCCTAATGCCTTTTGGAGTCTGAACTGGCTGCTGCTGCTGATTGAAACCTCTCTCTTGTGGGGCAGTCTTGCAACAGCTTTCCAAAAGCCAGGGAGGAGCTGTAGCTGCTGCGGGTCAGGGTTTCGCGTCCTTGCGATGCGCTGCCCTTGTGTGTGCCAGGCTGGTGCTTTAGCACGGGAGCCCCCGGGGGCGGAGAGCCTCAGCCTACCCACAGAAGCGATAGGAACTCCAACGGCGGTGTTGTCTCTCTGCTGTGCAAATCAATATATTCCTACGCATCGTGTGGTCAACTGCATGCTGGTGTTGAGATGCGTCTTCACAGCTCCCGGAAAAAAAAAAAAAGCAGCCCCCACAACTTTTTTAGAATAATGTTGATATACAGGTATTCTGCCCTGCCTCGTCTCCTCCCTTGTACAGTTGAACTGTTTGGGCTTGTGCAGTAATCCACATCTGTAAATGGGACCAACTTTAAAAATAACATTTTCTTCACAAAGTGAGTTTAAACCTGGATCAGTTCCTTCCTGTGTTTCAGCGTATGGTCCATGGGGTAAGGGTATGTTCTGGGGATGAAGGAGGAGAGAGGGATGGGATCTGCTGTGGAAAAAGGAACGATACTGGGCCTGGTTGGGGCTGTACATCTCTGCTTGGGTAAAGGCAATGGGAGCTTGCATCCCCTGTGAATTCTGGCAGTTGAACAAAGTTGAGGGGGTGCTGCATGTAGTAGATCTTCCTCTTGGGGGGTGGAGGAAGCATCCATGATTCCTCCCAGACTTGGGACAAACGGGAAAGCCAGCAGTGGGAAAGTGATTATAGAGTGTTTGCTCCCACAGCAGCTGTGATAGGGAGCTAATGGCTATGGCAGAGACTTTACAAATACCTGGTGGGTAGCCTAAATGAAAGTGCAGGATTAAGTGAAATGTCAGATGATCTTGTCTGCCAATATACAGCTTCTCTAAACACAGGTTGCACTGGTTTAACTGCAGTTGCTTAAACAAACAAACTCCATTGATCCCAAATTGATCTGCTCCCCTAAAAAAGAGTAACCCTTGCACTCTTTACATAGCTATTTTTATATGAAATATATAATGGATTAAATTGAATTACCTTTTTCACTTTGTCACTGAAGTGTAGAGTGTTTGAATTCACCCTGGTATCCTTTGTCCAGAAGCATGGGACAGGGGAAGGAATTCGTCCGTGTTGGTGAGCCTTGCAGCTGTGCTTGGAAAGATGCAAGAAAGGGATGTAATAACTGCTCTGCTGTAAGCCCCTTCTTCTCTCGTGGCCATTGCTCTGAAATAACCATTTCGACATGCTTCCAAATTCTAAGCAAGCTCTTAAGCTCTTCCTTGCTAAGTCACATAGCAAGAGTACTTGTGCTGCATGTATTTATGATGGGGTCAACACTGGATTCAGAAGAATGCCTGTTGTGTCTGCCTTGTGTGGGGTGGACGGTAAACGTGGGGGCTGTGGGCTTGGGAAGGGGTGATGGAGAAGATGTGGTGCTGGAAGGTGGAGGAGCTGGGTGGCAGGCTAAGTCACCTCTGATATTAGGGACGGAGTCTTGGCCTCTGTGGATGCTTGAGGAATACACATCCCCACACCTCCCCACCCTTCTGTGTGTGTTGGCCTTTAGGTGCTTGTCCTTTGCAGAGAAGCGTGAGTTTTAACCGTACTGCGTGCCTTGCAGTAGCCTCTACCTCTGTCGAGGAATGAGCACTAAGGGTGGAGAGGTGTGGGCTTGGGTGGAGAGGCAGGGCAGGAGACACGTTGCAGGAGTACCAGAGGTGCTGCTTCGTGCCTGTTTACAAGTGCAGTGTAACTTGGCTGGTTGTTGCTACCCAGAGGCTGGAGGGAGGCAGAGGGGAAGAAGCTGGGCTGTGGGAATTGGGCAGAAGGGGGTCATGAGGATTGCACGGAGCCTGGCACCTGCAGTGGGTTCTTGTTCTGGGTGTGAGGCCCAGGGAGTGGTTTATCCCGGCTCATAGGGAGGGGATGTGGGGCTGGAAGCAGGTAGCTCCTAATCCAAGGAAAGGGAGGTCCTGGGTGCCTGGGGGGGAGCTGTGATGAAGGACAGGGAACACATTTCACCAGCCCCGCTTGGGCGCCATGAGGTCCCACAGTACCTCCCTGTGCTGGTTGTCACCTGCCAGGGCTCGCTGCAGTTCACAGCCAGGAAGGCTGTGGCATTCCCTCTGCAATGCCCTGAAGCGTAACTTGGGGTTTTAACCGTGGGAGGTGAAACTTCACCCACCTTACTGTGGGTGAGCTGAGCTAGCGGCGCTCTGCTCCTGAAAGGGACAGCCAGGCTGGGACGTGTGCCTGACGTGTCAGGGAGGAGGTTCAGCCTGTTAAACTAGGAGAAAACTTTCCTCTTTTCCTGAGTTGGGTGGGTTTCACCAGTTCAGCGAGTGAGGCTGTGGTAAAGCCAGGCTGACAGTTTGCCTAGTGTTAAGCCTCGCTGCCAGAATTTGGGCATCAGGCTCCTGAACTGCAGTGTGTTACTGGGGATGCGTGGGATTTGGGTGGAAAGTGTTTAACTTCTGGAGACCTGACTGATGATTTCTGCCTTTGAGTATTTTTATGGGATGAGAACGGGCTTTTCAGTGTAATGCAAAGTGAGGACAGAGACTTTTTTTTCTTTCCGCGTTTTGAACCCTATGCTAGACTTCAGTAGGACAGACAATCCTCAATAGGGAGAGTGAGGGGCAAAATTTGGTAAAGGGGAGGCTTAAGGTTGCCTCTTTCTTTACATTCCGGACCTAGACTTGAAATGAGGGTGAAAGTAAAATTTAATCACCAATGTTTCAAGACTTTTTTTTTTTTGTGTGAAGTTGTAATTTTACATTCAGTATTATACCTTTAAATTCAGACACCCTTCATGTTCTGTGTATAGACCTGGTCTCCACCCCCCCATCTCTCGCCACCAGAGGCGGCTGTTGTCTCTTCTCACTCCTGTTTTTCTGCCTAGTATAGAAAGTAACGAACATGCACAGCGCACAAAATATCTTGTATGTGCAGTTGCTAACCTTATTTAAAAAAACCAGACGAACTATGTGAAAGGTAATCATGGTGTTTGTCATGAAAAAAATTCTTAGTTCAATGTAAATATGTTGCTGGCAACTGGTTATTTTTAATACATGCTATTTGCGCTTTAAATTTGATGTTAAAGTATTTTTGTCATCTAAACCCTGATTGTTCTTAGGTGAGCAGATTTCAGGCTAAAAACAGGAGTCAAACCATGAGTGTTCATAGCGTTGTAATTACTAAACTTTCTGATGTGTTCAGATGAGCAGGAGCTGGATGCTGGCGGGCCTCTTTCTGCTGCAGCGGAGACATGTGAGCAGATAATGTTGTGATTTCATGCCCGTGTGCCACGAGACAGCATCCTGGCATCGCATTTTTCGTGTTACTAGATCTTTTCTGACCTGTTTGTTTAATACATCATGAAGTGGCGGTTATATGTCTAATTGCACAGCACAGAGAAAATAGCATTGTGTTGAAATATTGCATAAAACTTGAGCGTTATGTGACGTTTTGTAGTGGAAGTAGTACTGTAGGCACTTGCTCATAACAAGACCTGCAAGTTTCTCTCGGCCAGGGTGGGTAGTTGAGCTGGCTGTGTGTGTGCTGACTCAACGGAGCAAGTTTCTTTCTCTTCTCATCCTCCTCCTCTTTTGACTGCTTGTGACCGAACAACAGCAGGTTCACAAGAACTTGCTGTTGAAATGTACCTTAGCTTGAGGTTGCTCTTTCAAACTATTTGCAGCTGTGGTTCTTCACTTGAGACTTTCAGAGCTCTCGTGCCAGACAGGTGTTAAGTTTGGTTAAAAACGGACTTGCTTTCTGAGCGTGGGTGCGTGTACACAGCGTGGGTGTGAATGCACAAGAATTTCTCTGGAGCGGTTGAGCAGAGGACCTGATTCTGATCTGGGGGACCCAGTGTCACCTTGGTGGGCATTCCCGTCTGTATGGGGGGATGGAGGCATATGAGGGCTGCTGGGACAGGGGAGGAGGTGCTCAGAAGTGAAATCTGGGAGGTTCATGCATGTGTCTACCCTGAAGTGTTAATCAGGCTGCACAGTACGGTCTCATGATGTCAAGGGCTTGGAGCCTGCTGTCTGAGCCTCGCTCCTCCCTTTTTCATTTAACGATGGCTGGAAGAAAAATAATAAAGTATGCTGGAAGAGAAACATTAATTAACTTTTAATTTAGATCTAACGTATGCTTCTGAGTGCACTGCATGAAAGAGTGAGTGTGCGGTATCTGTCATGTTATATAGGGGGTGATGCATTAGAGAAACAAGGAAAAGCCTCAGGTCTGAATGGGAAGATGGGGTTTTAACTCTGTGGATGGGTTTTGTGTCTTGATTAAAAGCTGCAGATGTGTGATAAGTCACTCTTGTATCCATTTTGCATCTGAAATTACTTTCTCTGTAACTTGGTTTGTATCTGTTTTCTCTTAAGCCAAACTCGCAAGGCGAAGTCAGGAGAGAGAGAATCTTGGCATGCTGGTCTGGTCACCTAACCAGAATCTGTCTGAAGCAAAATGTAAGTCTCTTCAAATACTTTTATTCCCCTCTTCCCTTACATGTATCACTTCAAGAATGCGAAGTTGCCACATTCAGTAGAGAGGTTATGTTTGTGACCTTTCCATTATGATTTGAAATTAATTTGAAAAAAGAAAAGCCTGCAAAGCAATCCCCCAGATGAGCTTCGTTCCCCACTGGGCAGCTGCTCAGAGCGTCAAATCCATGGAGGCAGGGAAAGCAGGAGAAATGTGACACACTTTCTTCCTTGGTATGAATTCTTTAAGATACTTATCCATGGGCCTACACGATCTGTTTTTTTGCTGCTGGCACTGTAGAAGATGACAGAAATAACTGGGGAGAGCAAAATGAAAAGTATTGGGGGGGGGGGGGGAATATATGGTAATTAGTAGTACCTTTTTCCCCACAAAGACACAAATAAAATCCACATCTGGAGCCCGTGGAGGTTTAAATGCCAGAACAATTGCAGTGCCTTGGAATTCCACGTGAGGGCAATTACCAGTGCTCTGTGTGTGTCTGGGAACAAGTCTCAGTGCTGCTGCCAGATGGCAGAACTAGTGTTTGAAAGGTTTGTCTAGCTACAGTTCTCCTCATGAATAAGTAGGACTCCTTGATTAAAGGGCTGCTGTTTGAATGCAGTAACTAAACCCAAGTGCTTTTGGGGGAGGGAGCTGAAAGGAGCTATTTTTGACTTTGCGCTCGTACCTTTTTTCTTTCTTTCTGATTCTGGGACCAAGAATAAGAATCTTGCATTCCTGGTCCTCTGCAGTTGTTTGTGGTGGCACTATTAACTTCATGCCTGGTTTTCCCCTAGGCCCAAGGGCTAAGATGCATCACAACACACTTGTGAGGATATAGTGGCATTTGCAAATTAAGGCAGCAGAGATTGTGCACAAACTGGCTCTGTCATGAAAGGGCTGGGCTCTGTCCTGGGGCATTTGTTCCACTGAGCAAGTTGCCCCTTAAGTTACAGAAGGATTAAGGTACTGTGATCTACAGATAAAAAGGGCTTTGCAAGGATCACGTCTGCCTTCTCTCCTACCACTGGTGTCTTGTCTGCTCCCTGCTGGCTATTGGATGCTAAACTAAATAAGACTGATGAGGAGAGGGATATATTTTACAGTTATCTACAGCTAGAAACCTCTAAAAAGGTTTAAGAGCAAGAAACTGTTGCCTCCACCAAAAGGAACGACTGTTCATGGGTTGTCTGTGACACAGAGGATTCCTGTAGCTGCCTCTCAAGTCTGAGAGTCTTTTGAATCTCAGCTCAGCTTTGGAACATTTAACTCCTGCCTGATAGAAAACAGGTTTCTTGGAGAGGGAAGAGAGAATGGAGGAGGAAAAGGAGTGAAGATATGTGGAATTGAGTAAAATAATCTGTGACTGAATATTCTGTGGCAATTGGCACAAAAATATGCAAGGATATTATAGAGCTTAACAAGGATATAATATCTCCTAAGATGATGTCATGAACCTAAGAGGTAATTAAAAAGGTAGTATGGCATTGATAAATAAAAACTAGGTGGCAGTTGACTGTTGCTGGTACAATAAAAAAATTGGGGAAAACAGTATGAATATAAGAGGAGGGCAGGAAGAAATTTCTCAGAAGACTCAAAATTTTAGTAAGAATGTAGGCTCATTAGTGAGTTCACCTCCCAAAAAAGATACAGAAAAAAATTAATATTTCATGTGGTGTTTGGGGGAGAGAAGTATGATGCTTTTGCACCATACATGACACACAAAATATCTCCCAGGCACCTAATTGACATGGAGGGATGGAGTTGTGAAATTCAGTATTAGTAGTAGTAAAAAAAAAACCAAAGGAGCATTGGGAGAGGTGGCTAAAGGGACCTTGGGGTGGCAGGAAAACTCCAGCAGATGGGGAGAGGGCAGCTGTGCAGGGAATGAGAGAACAGGGTAAGAGTGGGCTGGTTGGTCGTTGCTTTGTCTTGTGTCAATTTGAGCTGACACTACCAAAAGATATCAGCTATTCCTGTCTCTACCTGGCGTTACTTAAAAATGAACTGTGAAAAAC